GTCAATATCAGAAAACACAGAAATAAAAAGTGAAATCATGCATACTAAAACCCCTCCTTCTTCTCTTGTCTTTGTTATCTGCAGTCCCTGCTCGCTCTTTCCCTCTGTCTCTCTTCATCTCTCTTTAAAATCCCCCCCCCTCTTCTTTCTATTTCTCTCTGTATTTATGTTTCTGTCTCTCCCAAGTCTCTCTCAATTGTCTTATGGTCACTGAACTGTGGCTTTCAATTGGTGCCACTGAGCTCTGGCATAAGCTGTGGAAGCCTACAAAGAAGACCAGTGCATTATTCTCTTTGTTCAAAGTAGTGGCATTGATCAAAAAATAATAATACAATAAAACAGAATTGACTGTTTAATACAATAGTTGGTTCAGCTTTATTTTTCTGGGATGTTTTTGAATCATCAAGCACCCTTCCCGATAGTAAGATAAGAAGATCAATTTCAATTTCATCACGGTTAGCTTAGCCTATAGCACAAAGGCTGAAAGAGAGGGAAATAGCTAGCTTCTGTACAAAGGAAGCATGTTTATAAGTATGCTTTAGAAATGCTAGTCTATACATTTTGTAACCATCAAACAGAGCTAGGCTAGCTGTTTCCCCTGTTTCCTGTCTTTGTGCTAAGCTAAACTAAACTACATGTTGATAAGAGATCCAATATTTTTCCAAAATGTTATCTTTTCCTTCATTGACCTGAAGGTGCATAAAGCAACACTTAAAGGACAAATGAACTTAAAGGATATGAAGCTAATTACTGCCAGCACCATATTTGTATTCACAAAATAGTGTTGCACAACTTAAGCGACTCACTTATCCGCCATTGTTTTCAACATTTTGTCCAGACGTATTCATTTAGACTCATTCAACTGTTTTAAAGCACCCCTCTTTCTAAAGTACCATTAATGTGTTACTTAAAGCTTGAAGAAGATATGTAGCTGTAAAATAAGCATAGCCTAAACCAGGGGTCTCAAACTCAAGGCCCGGGGGCCAAATCCGGCCCGCGACTTCATTTTATGTGGCCCCGCAAGAGCTTGCAAAGAATATAATACGTTTATTATACGGTTACATGCCACTTTACAGAAGCAGGTTGCCCATAAACTACATGTCCCACAATGCATCTCGTTTTTTGACATGCGCACTGAAGAAACTTGCAATTATTTGCCCTGGACTTCTGCTTTCAGACGTAGTTGATTACTAAGTTATTATCCTATCCGATAATAATCCAATTCAGAGGCGATAATGTAATATAATACATTATTTTATATATATATTATATATTTATATAGTTACAACCGGCCCTTTGAGTGCAACCTTTATGCGAATGTGGCCCGCGATGAAATTGAGTTTGACACCCCTGGCCTAAAGGGTCAGTTCCCTTTATGGTTCCCATTTGAAGAAGTGACCCTGACAAGAGACTAATGATGACTGATGTCAAGTCAGCTCTTTATTGTGAGCCATCAGGCATTGGCAGCATGAGTCAGTGATATCTGAGGGCCATGTCAAAAATGGTGGCATCAATGCTGAATTTAAACAAATACAAGAGAAACAGCTCAGTCTGTTTTTAGTGGGCATTTGAGAGTATGCCACATCTAATAATGCTTTTAGTGGGCCAGAAGGATTTTTCACCGTGGCTGAAAACGTTGTATAAAAGTGGACATAAGGCCAAGAAACCACACAATGTTTCAAATACATCTAATTTGTTGACATACATTAGGTTCAGACAGACCAGATCACAATGAAGTGCTGTGGGTATATGTGTCTGCATGCGTGGGCAGAACACCATACTGTTCAGATAGCTGAACAAACTGTCGAAGAGGACTGAGTTGTGGCGAGACAACCTTGAGCTTTATCACACGACGAGACATCCAGCAACCAAAAAGAATCAGCAACTGCTTTTACAGTTTGATTGAAAGACAATACAAATTAAAGACATTTGGTACCAATTCAGGGGCAAAAAAGGTAGTTAAAACCCCAAAAAACAACCTGAACTAAAATAATTAAAAGTGCTTTTCAGCTTCAGGTTGTGATTACTCTCGAGTGAACCTGTTTTTTCCCCCATGTGCGCCATCTGCTTTTTCCACGGTTACTGATTTCTTAGAATGTCTTTTGATGACTCACAGAGACAGTGCACAGTTTTTACATTTGCTTCGCTCGGCTGTGAGTTTAAAGTGTGGGTGGTCGGATATTGATAGTGATTGTGGTAGTGTGAACAAGGAAGTCAGATTTTCCATTTGAGAAAAAGTAAAAGTTTGTCCCTTGTCAGTGTTGCGAAATACTGCAGCAACAAAACACAGGATTAGCACATGCTGCTTTTGGACTTTTTTGATACCTCAGCTCCTTTCCCTCAGAATATTTTTTTCCCAACTGGATCTATATGACAGCATTGTGGTAGAGCCTAGCTAAGCAAAATGGATTCCTCATCTCTCTTTATAAACGTCTATGTTCACTTTGCTCCACTTTCCAAAAATAAGCTACTAAATAACCCATTGGGACAGTTCCTCTGGCACAGTCTGAAGCTATTCCCCAACCACATATTCTTTCATAACCACCTTTCAGAATGTATTCTGGAAAGAAACTGCTTAAACATATTATCCCTCTAGTCGGTCCGCGACAATAAATCTTGCTGTGAATCATTTGAAGTCGGAATCACTCTCTGTGGGACTAATAAAGGTATTCTGATTCTGATTCTGATTCCTTGTTATTTAAAAAAAAAATGTTTTTGGAACCTGTGTGTGCGTTCTTCATTGTTGGATATTTTATAGATAAATTCAAGTATATTCTTGTACACTATATTTATTCCAAGAAATAGAAAATACACAAGTTAAATGAAGACAGACTTAGCTGAATGTGTTGTGTTCATTAACCCTTGAAGAGCTTTCTGATAGTTCAAAGGAGCAACTTAAAAAACAAATCAACACAAATAGCAAGGTCACCATGGGTGAATGTTTTTGACAAATAATCTTTAATAATATAATTATTTATCACCACGATGATCCTTAAATAACACCAAGCCTAACATCGGTGCACCTTTAACACCATGAAATACTTCCACAAGGACTACTAAGGTGATTTAAGGATGCATTAATGTCTATGAAAATGAATAATGGCGTCCTCCTTGACTTTAAAGTGACAATAAAACTATTTAAGACAACCAAATTATTTCGGAAATTAAATGAGCACTCGGATAGTGCAGACTTAATGCAAGGCCATTTTCTTAAGGGCGAAATAATGCGTGTATCCGCCCTGTGATTCATACCAACAGTTAATGGGTTCTTCCTTTGTAGTATTATACAAATTCGGCACGTCGTTTTTCTGTATTCCTTGGGACAGAAAAGACAAACCAACAAACAAACCAAAAACATAACCTCCTCTGCCTGATTTCTAACTTCACCAGCACTCTTGGCTCCATTCATGGCTGTGAACGTGGATTTTCAAGGACTGATGTCAAAGCCTTGCCAAGCTGAGTCGGGCTGAAGTTTTCGCAGTTACTGCTGTCAGGATGTCTCCTCCGACAGGAGAGCTGTCAGCACACAAGGACCACACACACACACTAAACACCTGACCCAATTTTCAAGCTTCGACAACATCCAGGAACAACAGCCAGAAAGCATAACAAGTAGCTTCAAAATCCTCTCTGTTCCCTCTTGGCAAACCTGTTTATGTTTGTCCTTCTCTGTTATTTTCCATTTTAATTCCCTTAATGCTGCAACCTGCTTTCCTTTCCTGCCCTAATGCTTCCAAAGGCCTGTCCTAAATCCAGTTGGAGAGAGATATCATGACCAAAACAACCCACAAATCCAACTCTCGACCCCTGATTTCAGCCAGTTTGTCTGACAGCCCTGGCAGCACAGAGAAAAGCCAACCTTCTCTTCCAGGTCTGGCCCCCAAACACCCAGACTCTCCACTTCCATTATCCTCATATCCCCCAGGAGCACAACACCAAACCTCAGCTGCACCCCTGTCTGCTATCACCCGGACAAGACAGCCGATCGGCCCCATCAGCAGCTCCAGATGCCGCGGTGTGCCAGACAGGATTAGCACACATCAGGCCAGAGGGGTTGTTGCAGATCCTCTTACCCTCCTCCTCCCCACATCTTATCCTCCTCTGCCTGCTCCTCTGATCCCCTGGCACCAACACAAGTCTACATGCACACTCGCAAACTTTAATATTGATCAAACAAGCGACAGCAATGATACATGAGCAGACACATTATGTCAAATGGTGAATGTACTGCATTTGTATTGTGCTTTTCTCGGCTTTTCATCCCCTCAAAGCCCTTTTACATACAAATCAACCAGTCACACCAGTCATACAGAGACATAGGCTGCCATACAAGGTTTGAATGTGTGTGACTGTTTGTCTTCTCAGGGAGAATAACATACACACAAGAGTCAAGGCTTTATTGTCATGTGGACATTAGCTTCAGTGTGGATATGGCAATGAAAAACATAGATCACAGGCTCCTCCAACAGTGCAACATGAATATATATAGGACATAGAACAAATAACACAGATACAATCTCGCATGTTGCGGACAAAGTTAAAAGCACACAACGAAATGTAAACAAACACTGAAATAAAACGAGAAAAAGGCACAGTTAAATACACGGCAGCCATCATCACCGGCGCCATACTATTGGACATGCCATTGGGAGCAATTTGGGAATAAGTATCTTTCCCGGAGACACATTTTCATGTTGACAGCTTTTTCTCATGAATGAAAGGGATGCGTTTGGTGCAGTGGGTTGAGTGTCGGTGTTCAGATCAGGGGGTCACAGGTTCAAACCCCACTGCAGTCAGCATGTCGTTGTGTCCCTGGGCAAGACACTTCACCCCAAATTGCTCATGTGGGGATTGCCCACAGTATTGAGTATGTAAGTCGCTTTGGATAAAAGCGTCTAACAAGTGACATGTAATGCAATGCATAGGCCAAAGTGGTGAATAGAGGGCCATCTATGATCAGCTCTCAAAATGTTAAAATGTCCAAATCCTTTCTTTCCTACCTTACGGACATGGAGAACTCTCCAGGGGCGCTCTCACTCTCTCGGACCAGAAAAGCCCCGCATTCTCTGTGTTTCAGTCGACTTTCTGCCACACCGCGAGATATACGACCGGCAAACCAGCTGGAAGCAAGAAAGAAAACAGGAAGCAGAGATGGAAAGGAAGAAAGAAGTCATTGATGTTTCTGTTTAATGCATGTGAACTGCGTTGTTCTGGGGTCAGTGCAGCTACAATACAATGTTTTCTCACATTAATAAATGATTTGATTTGGTATCTAAACTTTTGATGTTTGTATTTTCAATGGAAATGCTGAGACTTAAAAATAGCTCACAGCAATAGAGATGAATGCTGACAAAGGCAAAAAGACAGCTTTAGAGGGAAAAAAGGTAAAATTAGCACATTTGTGAAGTTATTTTTAAACACACTGCCACACAGGAAGAAAATCCTAAAATGCTGGATTTCAGTTGTCAGCCGTGTAGCGTAAGTAATGGTGCCATTTTTCATTTTGTTTCTCGCTCATTAGTCCTGCTTAGTAGAGCAGTTTGTTTGGATGCAGTGTTTGCATAAATGACGTTCTGCTTTCACGGGCCTGTGCTCTGCAGGCAGATTGATGGCTTAAATGAGGGGAAAGCACATCGAATATGGAGGATGCACTATACGGTGCTCTATTGGTGGAGGTCATGGGGTCAGACTTCTGGCTCAGTGAGGAAATGTGGAGGAGGAAAAGCACTCTTAGACGACACATCTCCTCACGCTATGCACAAAGTTAACTAAGCAGCTCCAACTGGAATGTGTTCATTAACAAGCCTCTGCAATGGCTGCGTTGCCAATTTAGTGTTTGTCCCAGCACAAAGTTGAACCCAGCTGGTGTATGACCATCTGATGGAGATACAGTGTGTACCAGCAGCCTTACTGAAAACACACACGGCTGTATCATGTGTGATTACGTAAGGCACCGAGTGAGTGTGTCCCTTTGGGTAGGCTGCCTTATGCCGGAGTGCAGATGTCCAAAGCAGAGCAGAAAAACGCTCAGAGCGGCAAACACTCACTGATGAGTTGTAGATAGACCAGTGTTAGACGTTCAAAATATATGAATCTGCTTGAAGACGTGAGTGCAGGCATGTGTGTACTTACGCGTGTGGCCGCAGGTTGATGTAGTTTTTTGGTACAAAGCCTTTCCTATTGTGGAGCTCAGCTGTGTACCAGTTAGGATCATCCTCCATGTTGGTGATCTAGAAGCAAACACACACACAGATGAAATATTGCCCATAACGATGTTGATGCATTCTATTACTGTCGGGTGAAGGGTCGCTAACATTGCTTCCCCCCTCTGTGTACAGTATATCAATCTCTTCGCCAAGCCTCTCCTTTCATTTCCGGTACAGCTGCTTCCATCCTTTTCGCTGTGTGAAGCGAGGTTGTCGACTCACACAAATTCCGAAGAGCACAAGATTATTGGCAAGTTCAAAATGTCACATAAAGCTCTTCATGACTGCACAGGAGAAACAGCAAACATGTCTGCAATAACCCATGTTGCTGTACATACAAAGCAGAAGTGTCTACAGTTTTACCTTCTTATTTTCACTCCCAACTTGTCATTTAGGGGCGTTTGGTCAGATCACTTTTAAACGCATGAGGTACCCAATAGAGTAATAGCATATTTTGTTTTTGTACGTAGAGTAGTCCGATAGACCTCAACACATGGTTAACATAACGCTACGTGACGTAAGATAAGTATGTCACATAAATGCTTGTTTTAGAAAAAGGTCATGGTTTGGTCATAAATAAGTATGTTTGTTACATCAGTTAAATTGCACACCCAAATTAAGTATGTGTTAGTTAAGTATGTGACGAACATGGTAAAAGTTAAGCAATCAGTTAGACACACGCAGAACATGAACAGAGGTCTCTTTCTGTGTTTCCAACCCAACCTTTTCCCTAAGCGAACTTCACCCATCTTTATCCTACGTCACTTAATTCTCTTTCATAGTAAGTAAGGAAGCCCACAAGAGGCAGCCAAGCACGTGCAAAGTAGACGCTTTAAGGGTAAATGGAGTTTAGAAACACTGGGATGGCCTTCAATTATAATACACTGTAATCTGACACGCTCTGGTTTACCTGCTTTAATGTTTACCTGTTTTTTCCTATCTGGTTTCATTGGTCTGTTTTATTTTTGTCATTTTTGATTCAGTATTCTAATCCAGCTGTGACACTTCCTATCGTTTCAATATTTCAAGCTGTTGTTTTGTTAGCTCTGCTTGTTTGGCAGTAATCTTGAAACCCTTTTTTTCTTCCCATATGTCCCATACAGAGATAAGGTTTTTTATACCACAGTGCTGCTTTGTTTTATCAGTCAAACTCAAATAGCCAAATCTATCAGCATTTAAACTGATAAACTGTTAAAACAGCTGAAATGTATCCTGCCTTTAATGGCACTGAGAAGATACAAAAACTCCTTCGGCAATGTTGCCTTCATGCCAAAAAGTTGTCCTGTGCCCTCTCTGCCTTTAGGAACTTCATTTCATGCACCACCTACTTTAATGGTTGCACTGTGCAACTGTGCGAGCATTTCAAATGTGATGCCGGCTTTTGACTGATTTACTGCTCATTGCATCAATCATTGTTCAATCACAGAACTGAATGATTGCCCTTTTATTCAGCTGCTCATTTCAATGTCAGCCAGACAATATTTTAATTTAATGAAGAAATCCCTCTTAACCCTCCTATTGTCTTCGTTTCCCCCCCCCCTTACTTTGGTGTTCGCGGTCAAATTTGACCGGTCCTGTTTTAACTGCTATTACATTAACACAAAAACCATTAATCATCACCACATTTCATTTAACACCCTTTCAAACTGTACATATTGTATCAGACTACTGGTATACAGGAAAAACTGCAGTAAATATACAAAGAATAGACACTGAACATGTATTGCGTGTGCCAGGTGTGATCCATGTGGGGGCACATAAGAGCGGGAAATGTGTCAAATTGTTCTGTGTGTGTGTGTTTGTGTGTACCAGGCGTGATTAACATGGGGGGATGGGCACATAAGGGGGGAGGACACATCTAGTATGTTTGTGTGTGTGTGTGGGTGTTTGTGTGTGTGTTTTATCTGATCCGGATGGTTACTAATTCCTTTTCTTTATGGCGGTCATTTTTGACCGGGAACACCATGGGTGTTACAAAGTTGACTAAATCATCCAAAATGCAATGAAAGTGGTGATCAGCAATTTTACATGTTCAAATGTCTACTGTGAAGGATATCATAAAGCCTTAATGCAATCGAATGTAAAACAAAAAAGTTATGATTGATGAAAGTAGTAAATCGGTCAGATTTGACCCGAAGACAACAGGAGGGTTAAACAACCCCTATATATATTTTAGGCAGTTTAATACAACATGTTAGACTAGCATATTCACAATGCAAATGTAGGCCTCAGGTAATTCATTACGTTGACTCATCTCCTTTTCTCGACTCTCATGACAATTCCTCTCTTTGTCCTTCTTGCTTTTGCCATTGATGGGAGAAAATGAGAGATAATTCAACAGCTCTTCAATTTGCAATGAAATCAGCTTATCTTCTTTCTTATTTAAATCCAAAGCTATCCTTGCAGTGATTATTTCCTTCTTGAGAAAGGACCCGGCCTGAGTTAGTCTAATCCTCAGTTTAATCAATTATTTGTTTCTTTCTTTTCTCTCCATTTGCGTTTATGGGTTGTTTATGGGATGGGATGTTTATCATTGACCAACCCCAGTTATTCAGCTGATAGTAATTCAATACAGCCTCTTCATACAGCGTCTAATATTTTGGGGGTTCCAGTGAAGCCAGCAGATGTTCGGGGCAACTACAGTCGAGAATGCAGTGAAAGATAAAAAACGATGTCTACAAACTAATTGTATTCCTACAAACTAATTGTATTTCTGCATCAACAAAAAAGCTTAATTGCTGTCAAAAGGATATGTGAAAGATATGGATTTAAGTGTTAAATAATGAACACTAGACTGTAAATATTTTTAACAGAATTCCAAATGAGGCTATTTATTTTTTTGTTAAATTACAAACTAGCTTTTTGATTTTGCCAGTGAAAGAAGAGTCTGGCAAACAGCCCAATTCAAACCACAAATTGTCGTGTGTTAGGGTTTTTAGAGAAAATAATAAACAGTTTCTCTCATCACACTCCACTTTTGGGTCCCTTGTGTGGGACTTGGCCACATCTTCTTCCAGCTTTAAAAATGTTCATAGCTGCAACTTTTTTTATTTGAATATGGAGCTATTTTTATCATTTCATTACAAGTCTACACATTTCTAGGTGGCAACTGCAACACATTTTGCACAACACTGTATGAGTTGTTGTAAGTTTGTAAAGTGCAGGCCATCTGGTGATGCAAGAGGGAATGGATAAATGTGAAGAAATTATTTACAAGTACTGTTTGACCCAAGTCTGAACCGCAACTGTTTGGCTGAGAAAAGACAGCAGTTTATCCTAGCGGAAGAAGACAAATTAAGGCGCTTAAGCTGAACAAATGTAGGTCCCCTTTTAGTAAAAGCAAATATGTTACTGTGGCCAGGATGTTGACCTAGCCATTAAGATAAGGATAGTATTGCGTCACAGTTGGCTGACCAAAGCCAAACAATAACACCATCATCATTTACAGAATGGACAGGACCATCTACACATAAATACCGCTGGGAATAAAGAATCACATTTATTTATTTAAAAGCAGTGATAAAGATGCAGAACTAAATGCCACCTCGTTATGGCTGCATCCAAAATCAGCTCCAAATCAATGTGTTTTCTATAAATGGAAGTGTGTCTGGGATGAATAATAAACCACCCTACTGCAAACTAAATATGTAAATAGCACCTATAGGCATTGTTATCCTGACACATTCAAATACATGTCATGGGTTATTTTGTTGTTAAGGTCTTTTCTTCCTCTTGCCTCATCTGTTTCTTCCTTGAATAATTTCCAATGTTTTCCTTGCCTTTCACAAACTAGT